CAGAATTTCCCTGTGGAGGATGAAAAATTAAATTGAAACATTAGTCCATACTAGCACATGCCTTCCTCTCATTTTCTTTGCTAAGCAATTAGTGACATTTGCATTAACATACAAAACCACCTCGGCCTACATTAAAGAAAATGGGCAAAGTTGGCAGTTGCAAAATCAGAAACTACCCCTAAGATATAATCATACAATAATTTAGGTTGGAAGGGACATGCGAAAGTCATCTGGTCCAGTCCCTTTCCATGACAGGGCCAACTTAAAAGCTACATTAGGTTGCTCAGGGTTGATCAACAAGCACAGTAGTGACAGACACTCACTACCTGAACAGCAGAGTAAAAACTCAGTAGCTCAGTACTTGGTTCAGACTAAGTGGCAGAAAGAAGGATGAATGGAATTTGGCTATTTTACCCATTTTACAAATGAAGGAGTAATTGAAGAATAAAGATGGCCAAAACTGCAGAAAATGTGCTATGTGTTTAAGTGTGATACTGAAAAGAGGACTGAGTGAAATGTGACTAGGATCTCCTCTAAAATTCTTGGAAATAATTTAAAGGGCAACAAAGCTAACTGCAGTACAAAGTTGTAATCAACAGCTGTGTATACATCATTATTAGATCACAGAAGCACATCTATAATAGAAATGTTTAAGCAAAAGACATTCATAAAACAAAATAAAGGCACCAGTTATATCCAATTCACTATCTGTATTATATATAGTTATCTAGCTCACACAGCATAACCATACTATATGCTTTGAGAGATTTCAGGTAAAATTTACAATCAAGAGCACAATATCTGATGACATTAAACAGAATTCTAGATTGGACCCAGAGAGCAGCTTAGAGCCAGGAACGGTAGCAGTTTAAAGAACTCTGACCAACCAAATAATGGATATCAAGATTTGAATTTTCCAGGTTACTTAAACTATGAGAAGTTTTCTAAGATGTGATAGTGAAATACTGCAAGCACCATATCTGGCAATTCTCCAGGTGAAAAAGAGGCCAACGTACTCATCCTATAAGGAAAAATCCTTTAAATGAATGTGATGTTGTCAACTCTCAGGCACGCTTTATTGTGAGAGAATGGCATGGATCCAATATGCCTCTTCTTGGGCAAAAAACTTAGGGATCTTAGCGCTCCAACAAAACCACATTGTACAGGAGCCTGTAGATTTTTTTTTTTTTAGATCAAGCAGTTGTGTTGGAAAGCAGCTGATAGTGCTCCACATTTATTTAAAGGATGTATGTCTTCACAGTTAGACATTTTGAAAACCCTATTTTACTCACATCTCAGAGTTTAGATGTCTTGCAATCAAGTTCCCAAGGACACATAAGGCTGGCATATATATTACAAGACAAATGAGATATGACAAACTGCCATAATATGCACAACTTCCTTTGTTTAGAAGTAACCCTCACAAGTTGTTGCATGCCTATGAAAGTCCATTTTCATTTCCATAGGAGCATGGTATGAGTCTGTTAAAACCAAATATGTGATAACTGTAACTGAAAGTCAGAACTCCTTTTATTTTTCATCCGGTGCATTTTTTTCTGGATCTGGTCACTTTTCAGTCAGCTAAATGCACACATGGAATACTACATGATAATCCTCTGATTCAGAGAAATTTGTCTCGCATTTAACTTCTATGTTTGGACTTACTGACAGTTGCAGTCACACATGCAATTTTTCGTGAGAGAATGTAAGAGTCTCTCATTGATGCCTCCCTAATACCGTCCAAATTTCTTAAAATATTCAAAGTCTGGCCATCAGCTCCTAATCTTTAAAAGCTGTCTTGTCAAAAGGCCAGCTCAAAGGAAGGCGGGTGTCTGGCTTACTGCAGAGCTTCCCAGAGGTGCAGCAGTATAACCTATTTGAAAGAAGAATGTGAAAGAGAAAAGCAAACAAACAGCATGATCTGGCAGGCTCTGATGCACCCAGTCTTTCCCTGCTTCGTGTTCTGCCCCCTTCACACTGAGGAGTTGTCTTGCTTCCCTCCTGCTTGATGTGGGTGATTAACTCTCTAGCTCCTGGGCCAGGCACTAACATATCCTACCTGATTTACCTCAACAGCATGATAGACCTTGGGCAATGTTACTGCAGACCACCTTTGTCATGTACTGCTCCTCAAGATTCTCCATCTGGAGAATTACAGGCTTCAACTGTCTTGCTGCTATAGGATCTTTTTGGTTTAAATTTACTCATGGAGGCTGACACACCACATTCACAAACAGTTTTATTCCTTTTGCAAAGTCTTTGTTTAGGTCTGTCTGGTTTAGATCTGAGCTGAACTTTATTCAGCTCCAGATGCACTGAACCTTCAAAGCAGCATATGGGATTTACACAGCCTCACTGATGGCTTCAGGAAAACTGGAAAAAAATAGATTTTCAAATTCAACTTGTCATCTTCTCCAAAGTGTTTCAAGGCCAAGAGGTTCTTCCCCAGTTAATCCACCTTCTGATACTGAGCATCTCTCTTTCCATATACTTGCTGGTAGTTTTGTAAATGTTGATCATCTGCAAGAGGGATTTCTTTTTCTCTTCCAAATTTATTTTCCAGCTTCACCTCTTCTACAGCTCTTTCCTTTAAGGCTAGTTATGGAAAAGTCTGCTTCCCAGTCTTAAGGTATTACTTGATGAATTTGCAGACATTTCAGGGACTCTGATAGTGAATTTATTGAGCTGTTTCATTGTCTCTCTTCCTCCTATTTTCAGTCAGTTTTGTCAACAGGTCCATTTTGTTAATGTAGTGAGCAACCAGCTCCTGACAGACAGGTGACTTTTACTGTGGACATAAGCCATTCCTTGCAACACTGATACTTGCTACGTGATGCCAGCTGTCTTAATTTCCCTTAATTTAGTGTGCCAACAAGCCTGGATTCAAATGGTTAACAGTAGATTTCTTGTGCTTCTGACAAAGCTCTTAAGGCATCCTCAAAATTAGGAAAGCTCCCATTTTGAAATGGGAGTTTAATCAAACAGAGCCACACTGAGGACTTTACATCCTTTAAATCCTGTGGGATTCAAGGGACGAGCACTTCTGCAAATTATATAAAAAGTTTTCAATTTCAGGTGATGGCCTCCTGAATCCAGACTTTCACTGTCTTTCCCTTTTGAGGTTGAGGGGCCACCACCCCATCAGGGAAAAGTTGTCACTTTATGTCTTAAGTCAGCCTCCACCCATCAGTACTGATCTCATATCTAGTTTGTAACAAAATCCATGCTCCAAAAGACAGCTTCTCTCAGTGGTCTTTGGTCTGCTCTTGAAACCTCAAAGTCCTCTCACAGAATTAACAGACTTACAAATTTAAGTTAAAACCCATCTTATCTGCTTCTGCATAGACCCTGCCTTCCTTATGGCCTTTCCAGTGGTTCCAGCTGGGTCTGCCTGCCTCCATCTTGCTTCCTCTCTGAACAAAGAATTTCTTTCCTCTTTTTACCATCTGGACATTGCTCTCAGCAAGAAGGACTTGACTTTTCTTTCATGTCTTTTCTACACTTAACCAAATCCATCTTATTTCTCTCACCATATGTGACATGAAAAGTTCAAGTGTGTAATGGAATAGAATCTCATTAATAACACACGGTTCTTTTCAAGGATGCAACTGTATTATCTCAAAGTAGAACTGAAATGAAAACACAAACAGCATCACCTGACAAGTTTGGCAGCACCTACTGCCTTTCTTCAGTCGCGACTCCAGAAATATATTGTTTTACTGTCTCTTCTAAGCCTTCTCAACTGATTGAGGAAGAGATTGAGGAAACTGATTGGTCTCCAGTTGTATTGCCAACATATCCTAATTGCCTCGTAACAAGACAGAACAGCATAGCTGTAGTTCACCCTTTCACAAGCCACTTGCCTCTAAGAAATAACAGAGATATTCTTGAAGCAATACATATGAATTCTAGCCCATCTTATGTGTTTTGGAGTCTCTCAAAGAAGCTCTTTTTGGGTATCACAATTTCCCCTAGCCTTTCTTTTCCAATTCTCTTCCCTTCCTCTCCACTTTCTGCAATACTTCCTTATTTGTCCTTCTAGGATCTGCTAGTCACAAGTACATGAGCTAAGAAACAATAAGCCAGATTAAACCACATATTGCCTAATGGGAAAGGTTCAAGATGGGTTCTATGCAGAATTTTGTGCAGTGTTACAAATTTAAAGGTTAAAATAGAAAAGGACCGTTTATATGAGATGGAAAAATCCAGTTACCAAAGCCAAATTGAGACCCTTATGGGAAAAAAAATTGTGTCATTCATAAACTTTCTGATGCAATCAATAATTAGCACAAACACATGACAAGTGGTATTCTTCCCTGCTCTGAATATTACCACAAAAAAAGAAGAATAATTTTTGATGAGATTTTTTTTTTTTGGAAGAACAATGATGCTTATTTGGACTCGTTGCACGAGATGTACGCAAGCAACTGGAATTCAGTGACTAGTTTTAATTTGCCAGCTGTTTCAAGGCACTGAAAGAGAACTACATATACAGGACAAATCTATCTTCCCTCTCCATCATGCAATGCAATGGTCAAGCTTTGTACAGTAGCCTAACTTGCATTCCACTATTTAAATGAACATCATCTATGTCAGTTATGCCAAGCATCCTTAAACCCCAGAGAGAGACAACTGTACATCCAAACCTTGATCTCACATATCAGGTTTATATTTCTCATGTTTACCTTGTTTCTTTATCTGCTAAATTCAAGAGATTTTTTGATAAAAAGCAGTACATTTTCTTACATTTGACTGTTAACCTTTCTGATATAACAGGGCACTTCTGCAGTTTGTCCAGACCATATATACTCTTGGAAATTTCTTAAAGATTCCTCAGATGTGTCTTATCTGTTAACTTAGAAGAAAACCAAAGCACACCTTTTTTCCTATCAGAACAGGAGTAAAACCAATTCAGTCTTATATACATATGTATTTTCATTTGAAGTGGCAGACAGCTGACAGTAGTTGTATTAGCTTAGAAAATTACTTTATTTAATTACCTTGTGTCAGGTTTTAGGTTTTCCACAGTAGAATGGGTTTGATTTGTAGTGATAATTGATTTCTCCTTTTCTCCATCACTTGCTCCATTTTCAGTTGACACAACCTCATACTCTGGAAAATTACAATAAAGAGAAATTTGCTTAAAGCTCTTACTTGAGCTTCTTCATTGCTCTCTCTTTTGTGTATGATTTCCATTCCTACTGTCTACTAGTCTGTAAGGACATTTTGTGTGAACTAGTCTGGACGTTAGAATGCTAAAATTGTTAGAAAGAGAGATCCAATTCCAGATTGTTGAATGCCTAGCCCTCATGCTTCCTCATAATTTAATTATGGGACAGAGGATACTTAGCATCTCATCTCTGCTCAAAAGTACACTAGTCACAATATTTCAAACACAAATAAATACAAGCATTCAGCAGTTTGAATGAAAAAGTATCACAGATTAAAGTACTGTTTCTAAATACTTAAACCTTGATCAACTTAAAATAAGACCCAATTTTTTAAGATTTCCAAAGGAAACTGCCCAACTAACTTGGATTGTGCACTTAGGGGATCAGCCAGTTTAGGATGAAATAATTTTGCATAAATTTATTTTTGTATTTACATGATTTATAGAGGCTCACTACTTTCTTTTCATCTCACTGGGATGTATCATCCAAGCGCAAGCCATGCTCTGAACAGGGAATTAACAACAGATGTTTGGGAAGAAGACACTCCTTCAGTCATAGCCCTGTCCAAGATATAGTCTCTCTCTAGCAGGCAACCTCTGTCCTGATTCATACCTACCTCTTCTAATAAACACACTGACACATTTCTAATTTTCCTCTATTCACAAAGAAATTCAAAACCTCTCCAGCCCCTTCCTTTTCCCTTTATAAAACCTGTTTATAATACCAAATCCAGCTTTGCTAATTGTAACCTGTCAAAGGAGAATGTTTTCAAAGAACATTGGCAATGAGCATTTAGATCTACAACACAGTGAATAAAGTAGGTATTACACTGCGAGAACAGAGACCACCTAATAACAGCAACAAAACCTCTAGAAAAGTACTTTCTTTCCTGTTTTTTTTTTCCTAATTATACTATTAACTTTCAAGTTCTTAACTAAATGCTAGCAATCTGTAGGGCTTTTTTGCTATTTTTTTTAGTTTTCAATAGAAGGAGACCCACAGCACAGAAGGATAAAACACCTGCAATGGGATTCAGTGTTAAAAAGGAAAAAACCTCTCTTAATTTTTGCCGGACTCTCAGATCCTCACTCCTAGTAAATGTAGGAGTTGTGTATGTAAATGAACATACACAGACAAACTGACCTGGTTTTGACCTCAGTTGTGTAACTATGGCTTCTTTTGCACTCTTCTGTGCAAAAAGCAGCCATCAAAACTGCTGGGGTAAATTATGTAAGACAATGCAACCAAGTGGAAGTGCAGAGCCGCCCTAAAAAATTATGTTCTAAAATTTCAAGCTTCTAAACCACAGCAATTCCATCTAAGCAATTATATACATGTATGCACATGTGAATTTCAGATTACTTACTGCCACAGTTTCAAAAAGAACCTCTACACAACACCTTTTTATCTTTGCCTTGTAAAAGACTCAACTATTTAGAGCATATACAGAGCAGCATAAAACTTTAAAATAGGTTTAAAAGTATGTCAGAAAGTCAGCATGAAGGAAGGAATTATTCCGGTACTGAAGATGTAAAAATTTCCATATTCAGAAGTCCTCCCCCACAACAGTCATGCATGAACAGCAAAAGACAAACCACTGCCTTTTAAAAACAAATTCATGGACCTGCAGGAATGGGTGTCTCAGATAAGAGGGGGGGGGGGGGGAAAAAAAAGAAAGAAAAAGGGTTTGGGGGGGGGGGGGGGGAGAAAAAAAAGTAAGTAGAAGGCTTTTACTTTAGATCATTTTTGCAAGTGGAGTGCCAATGCAATGACCAGAGACATTAGCATTGTTAGCATGCATTTGTGTAAAACATATCTGTGTTTTCTCTCTACACATTTTCTTTTGGGAAACAAAGACCTTTTCCTATATAGCCAGCAAGGGCCAAGTGAACCAAGGAGGAAAAGTCACAAAACCCCTTATTTACACTAATTAAGCTTCATTAGAAAAATTACGTTTATTAGGAAGCCTGGAAGAGAGGGTGGATATCCACTGCCTATCATGCAGATAGAGAATGAGTAGGTAACTTTACAGGAATTCAATCCTTCTGCCAGCCCCAAGTCCACATGTGATTTGAACTTTTTAGTTCACTCACGGTGGAAAACACAGGACATGTGAATGGGCATGCACATGTGTGCACGCATATACACACAAAGAACTACTGAGTGCATCCAGTACCTGCTTGTTACTCAGCGCATGAGTCTCAGTGAACAAGACAACAAACCGCCCTACATTTCTGTGGCAACACAACAGGAGTAGCAGAGCATGAATGAAGTGGTCTTGGTTCCTGACGTTTGCAGCCTTTAGAAAAACAAGGAGGTAAGCTTGATGACTGTTTTGGTTATTATTTGTCAGACCAGACTGAAGTACAATTTTGTTTTTAGGAATAGCCAATAAAATTAAACCCCTTGTGCATAGCTAAATGTCAAGCAAAGTAAACTTTTTAAAAGGTGGCTCAACAAATTACATTTTCTGCTTCCACAGTTCTATCTGAAACACTGCATTAAAAAAGAGATGTGATGCCTAAATGAGATGATTGAAAAAACATGTATAAACTACAAAAATAAAAAGAGATGACAGAAAGCTTGATTTAAGTGTCTAAACAAGTAATGTCATACTGGTGCCAATATGAAGTAATCACTGTTTTCAGAAAACAGGATTCAATGCCTTCTCTTGAATTCAGAAAGTGTCCTCGGATGAGTCATAAACTGAGTTATTTTTTGAAGTTTAGACGAAGGAGACAAGCTCAGTGAGAGTATTTGTAAGACAGTGTTCAAACATTTCGTATTACACATTGAAGTTAAAAAGAATGAAAATGTTATTTATGGGAAAGCTGTTACAACTAGATAGGAAAATATCTAGATTGAAAACTAAAGTTTCTCTCAGTGAAGCAAAATGAGTGTAGTCACATATTCTGCAGAAGGTTTTAATCTTCTTTTCTGGAACGGAGAAGGGTATACCAGGTGTCTCAGTTATGATAGAATAGTCTTACAGAAGAGGAGAAGCTTCACAGAAAGTTAACACTTACAAATGCTGATTGCAACTGAACAGAGTAAGGGTTTCCACCCAAAGTCTCAGAAGAAATAGTGAGTATTTCTTGCTCTGTATTTCACAACACACATTGAAAAAGAAAGGAAATAGTATCAGAAGGCATAAACAAACTTCAATCAGGCCTTGGTCTCGTCATTAGATGATGTGCACTGACAGTTTTACCAGCTATAGTGGAAATGTTTTTCTATTTTTGCAATACAAATAGTTGTGCTGCAGTTGGGTTCATTAACATACTCAAGAAAACCAGCAGGTCTGCTTCCAAGAAAACATGCAGACCAAATGACTGTTATCTGATCTAATCAAGCTAAGGACTGGTCTGTGGAGGAGGCCTCCAAATGACAAGAGCAACAACAAGGTTTTTCCCAGAACAAAATTAAGCACTGCAGAACTGCCTGGAGTGGGGAGTGTTCGCAGTGAACCTATCCTCAGCCTAATTCTAAGGTCAGTGATAAGCTCATACTTTTCTTCCAGCACATCATGGAAAGCAAGCCACTCTTCTCTCTTTTTGGTACTTTTTATTAGCCTACAGTCTCTTTTTATTCCCTTTTTAATCCAGCAAAAGGGCTAACTTTCTTCTTCTTTCCCAGAAGAAAACATTGAAGGCTAATTTTTGTTGTGTGTGTCCCTTTGGTTTTGCATTTGGTATTTTTCAGAATGGTGGTGAGAACAAGAAAGAATAGAGGCTAAATCTAGTAATTATTTCTAGAAAATCAAGGGAGGACTAATTTGGGGAAGAGAGTGGGCTTACCTGTGACAGCCACCTAATTATACTCCTCCACTGAAATCTCTCATGACATTCATAGACAACAACATTTGAAAACATCCCACTTACATGCAAAAGTGAATGGCTAACAATCAAGATTTAGTCCTCAATAGTCTCATCTATTCTACTCGCTTGTAATGCAACACAGTCAAATCTGTTCGGTCATGGCTGTGATGAGCCAGTGATTTTGCAAATCAAAGTTTTATATTAATGGTAAAAAAAAAAGCCATTTTCTCGACTGAACCACAATTTTCAGTTGTTAATTAATTTAAATGTACAATTTCAGTAAGTTTGCGTTGATATCCAGAAGACAACAGAAAAATTATGAATGGTCATCTTGCATGCTTACCTATGTACTGATTCCTGCATGACTCAAAAGGATTTAGTCTCAATACAGAAACCTTCCTTTGGAAATGAAAAAACCAAACAGATTCTTTTAACATAGAGAACTTGGTGACTCTGTGCTGGGTATAGCAAGTACTATGCTGGCAGAGTTCTACTGACTTACTAGATGGATACAAGGTTTCATTGTGTCTGGACCCATTGATCTGCAACATCCTCAAGTCAAGAAAGATGTCTACATTTTCTGTATGCATCTATATAATAATAAATATATAATAATAAAGGCTACTGTTGCATTGCTGGAACTTCTTGATTAGATCTTACCAGATCCTGTACACTGAGAAGCCGAGAATTAAGAGAAGATACAGAGTAAGACTTCTTAAGTATCTTTTTATGTCATCACTGCCACCAATGATATAGTTGTGAAATCTCATTCTAATCTAGTGGTCTTTTCTTATCCACACTGGAATTTACAGTAGCACAAAATAAAAGCACTGAGGTATAAGACTCTTTTGGGATTAAACTATTTTTTAAATTGCATAAAATCACCGTGAAAGTGAAAATAAGATGGAAATACTGTATTCTGATACAATGGAGGAAAGAAATCAAACCAACCAGTAACAGTGTCATTGTCTGGTTTTTCCCAGTCCAATATGACGAAAGTTGGACAGCCCTCAACAGTCACCACTGTGAGGTTTGTTGGAGGATTTTGTGGAGGACGAGTAGGTTCTTCCTTGCTGCCAGCTTCTTCTTGAGGAAAATGTTCAAGAGAGCTTGTGATAGAGCAAGGCACATCATCATCCTTCTTCATGTACTTGACATGGGGGGCTAAGAGAAATAGGAAAGAGCTGTTATTCCATAAAATGTGTTTTTACAAAACATCAATGCAAATTCACCTAGTGCATAACAACTTTCATCTCAGGGCACCAAGTGAAAATCTGCACAACAAGTCAAAGTCAAACATAAATATTTAAGAATTAACCCCATATATTCAATAGTAAGTGTTTTTAAGTCTTTTGTTGTTGTTGTTTGTTTGTTTGTTGTGGTTGTTAGACCTGGAATCTGCACTGCCTTCATCCCCTTCCCATTGGCACCATTGATGAAATATCACTCTGAAGGTATTAATAGGCGATATGCACTGTCTGAAAGAATTAACTTCTGTAGCAAAATGGAACAATTAATTTTAGTAATTCTGTAGTAAAATTACACTGCAATTCTATCTGCATCTTTTGAGCGCTATGCTAATACAAAGATGCAATGCCCACCACCACTTTGTTCCACCAGAAAGAGTAACAAGTTTAGTCCAGAGTCATTCTATCATTAAACGTGCAGCTTCTAAAGTGATCAATCTTAAACATTTCCAGTGGTACAGGACCAAACCTTGAAACAAACCGCCTGAGGTAAATGTTTTGTACTCTGCATGAAAACCAGAAAAAGAAGACTACTGAAAACAAATACATCAATTCTAAAATTAAAACTTACACTGGATGTAAACAATAAGCTCTTTCAAGAAAGACAATGTCTTCAGAAATGTAGCATACCTTACCAGAACAAGAAAAAAACCTGAAAAATCTTTTGGTACAAAAGCACTTCTTTCTGTCATCTCACCTTGCTAAATTCTGTAGATTACTGCAACAGCAATAACTGTAGTACTTTATCATTCAGTTTAGTGTACATTACCATATTACTAGACTATCTGAATGTGCACAGCCTGGAGTGAAAGATGAGGAATATATGACAGGTAGGTATCCCTTATGGTAAGGTGCACTGGTATTGGGGCAATACCTCTCCAGTTATGCTTGCAAGCCCACAGGAAGATTTTCATTTGGTTTGGTGGAATGTGAACAGCATGCAGTTGTACTACTGCTGGCATACAGGAAGAGCCACCACATGTTTGTGGGCAAGACTGTAAACTAGGAGGTGGGAGAAGGGAAGAAAGTAGAAGTAAAATTTAGTCAAGAATATGCTGATGGTCTACATTACAGTCCTTTCATCTGACACTAAAGTGGAACAGAATCAAATGAAGTTTTGGCCTTCAAATAACCAAACAATAAAGTTTTGATGCAAGATAGGTCAGTCTTCATATATTCCTCCAAATAAAAATACTGTAGCTATTAAATTCCTACCTTGGTACCTTGGTTTGCCTGAAGAATCTGTTTCTGATGTAGGACTTGAGCTGAAGACAGTTGCGTCAACTGTGGGAGATAGAGTTATAATTTAATTTGCAATAAATACAAGGTTTCAGTGTTAGAACTGCAGCATTTCCCAGTTCACTTGGCATTTTAAATCATGGTAAAGCTCTTCCATGGTAGACCTTTGCTCCCAGATCTGTCTCCCTTTTAAGGACTCCACTTTGGCTGTGACGCTAAGTAAGCCCCATACTTACCTGCTAGTATAAAGACAGCCACAACTCATCAAAATGAGAGTTCATGACTTGTGCTAGATTCAGTTCATGAAATATATGCAAAATGCTCTTCAGACCTTTTTAAAAAGTATCTTCTTGCATTTTACTAGCTGTTTAGCTTGGAGTTCATTTCACCGTCATAGAATATATAGCACTACTATGTTGGCATATGAACTTCTCTAAAAATAGCAACAAGGAAATCACAAATTCTGTTTCCAGAGTGTACAACTTCCACAAAATTTGAAGGAAATTGAAGGCAAATATGTTGTTGAGCAGAAATGTGCTAGAGCAGTCGGGATTCATAACATCAGTGTTGGGCTAACTAGCTACTGCACTGAATAGAATCTTCTCTTAGATGCAAATACTACAATGGACCTCAATGGACAAAACCCAATATGCTCAGAACAAGCATTTTTTTAAATAAATCTAGCATCTGGCTTGCTTTTCTGAGCACTAAGAGTCACAGAAAGTTCATGATCATTATAAGGAGACAGGAATTTCAGTGTTACTCTAAGTCCAGGAAAATTAGAAGCAACATAATTCAAGACAATATAACTAGAGCTGCATATTTTGGCTCAAAAAATAATTTTAAGCACAGCCTCCCCCAAAACCATTCCTGTATGACCACATTGAGGAGATTTAGGTCTGAACTTTTAGTTAACTCACAATTTTATAAAAGGGTATATTACCAACTAACCACTATGTTTACCCTATTACAGCTTTTTCTATCTAAATGGTGTCGGCTTGATCAGATAGCTAGGAGTATATCACAGACATCTTGAGTAACACCAGTCACTGTCAAACAATAATTTGAATTTATGTCCCATGCAAAAAAGAAACATGTAGGAAAAGAAGTGCCTTATCTGCTCCCTTGACAGATTTAAAGTAGCCACTGAATAGTATTGAAAGCCTACTATGCATGTATTGATTTCTAGGAAGAAAGAAGGGCCATCGTGTTCTCATTTATTAAGGTGTGTATCAGAAGACAGCCAGATGAACTCAGTCAAATTAGAAAAGTCACAAAGTGGCACAAAGGAAATCAGAGTTAACCCAGACAGAATACTTATATTAAATATACAATGCATCAGTATAGTTTAGTGAGGGAAAGCAAAACAAAAAAAGGAGACCTTTATGTTAATGGAAAGAAAAAAAAAAAAAAAAAAGGAAACCAGACTGTCTGTAACATGCTTACCATAATACTCTGGAGTTGCAAAAGCTGTTGGCGTCTTATATGACGTTCCTGTCCTCACAGGTGTTGTTGGTCCGGCAGGTTTAGCTATAATTACAGAAGGAGGAACTTGTGGCAAAAGGGAATCTACTATTTAAAAAAGTGAAACGGCTTTCTGATTTTTTTAACAGAACTCAGATTTTTGTCAACCGCTTCATAAAACAAGTACTTTAATCATTTAAACTGTGATCCCGCAAAACTTGCACAACAGCTTCCAGTTGGATTTAGGAAAATTCCAAGTTGTCCATATTGCCAATATAACCTAATCCTGAAACCCAGTAAGAAATTTTTTTGCTAGTTGCAGATTGTCTTGGAGGACTTCAGTCAGCTAGAATACAACCTAATTTAATGCACAGAACCATCCTACACAGACTAGTAAAAGGATGCAAAATGACCAGCATTGACATTTCTGTTTCTCAAACAAAAGAGCACATTTGTTCATGAGTTGTAAGACAGAATAGCTGAACTCAGCAACTGAAACTTGGATTTTTCCCTCAAATACAGCTAAGGTCGTTTCATTTCTGCTCTCAATACAGCACATGTATTAGCAAGGCTAGAGCTGGAACACGTATAACAATAAATACTGCATTAAGATTTTAACCACAGAACAGTACTGGAGCTTCCACTAAATGAAATTAAGATGCACTTCAAATGAAGGTAAAAAAATGCAACCAAGTCCAACATTTTCCACATTTATAACACTACATGACCCAAGGAAAAAAGCTTTCTTTCTGATCTGTTCTGTAGTAGGGACCATAAGTTTGCACATAAACTGATTGATAGAGGCAGTATTATCTCCCATAATTAAATAGCTATTTTAAAAATTAATTAGATTATGTGACATTGCTTTTACTCCTCAGCTGCTAATCACCTAATAATGGAAATAAGTTTCTAAGAGGCAAAGAATCCATGGCAAAGGATGTCTTGATTTCAAAATAGCCGTAAAAGACAAAAACTACATTCACAAAACATGCAGATACTCCCAGATAACCACTGCATGACTGTGAAATCTCAACCCCAAAAAAGTCAAGAACTACATAATGTGGTTAATTTCCCTGCCTATAGGACGCAGAAGAACATGGTGACTTCTGCAGAAGGCAGAACTCTGGTGAACCAAGTTTAAAACAACAAAAATCCCTACCTTCCATTAATTTCCTTAATAAAATGTTAATTTATTAAGATTCTTGCAATAAAGATTCTTTCTCTACTTTCCACTTATTTCCTTCATAAAGTGGAAATTTATTAAGATTCTCAGAGTCCAGTTTCACAAAGGTTCTGGAACTCTCTTGTTTCCTTTTCTTCCATTCAGGAGACTTTTAATGTCTGCATAGAAACCTTCCCCTAATACTCATCCACTGGATGAGTAAGAAAGATGCAAGTAAGGAATTAATGACAGTGTTAATGAGAAAGAGAAACAGGACAGTATTATGAAAGGGAAAATCCAAGGACATTGAGGCAAATTTTTCCTGTTAGCACTGTGGAACAGTCTCTCCAGGGAATCAGAAGAAACCCAATTATGATGTCTAGAACTAAGCTGGATAAAACACTAGGAAACACAGAAAAAGGAAAATCTGCTACTGGCCCCTCAAGGAAGAACCAGATCATCTAACCAATTTATTCCATCTTGAATGCCTAGGAAGCATACGGTAACTGCTGAGTACCACATAACCTGGCCTCTGGTGTATGGAAAAAGGGTGAAATTTCAAAACGCTGGTAAATTAATTAGACACTTAATGGAGAAAATTAGCACAGATCCTGTTACAAGCAAAAAAAAAAGTATCAGGTCAAAAATTTTTATGCTACAGTTTAAGACTGACAGTGTCTTGTGTTCTGTTGTAGCTATTACTAAGGAAACACCACCCATCAACAGCAAGTAGACACACAACATTTTGATCTTGGCTCTTCCATTGAGTAAATATACAGCTTGTTTCATCCAGCTTGGAGATTCTGGATTCTATTCTGCTGCACAAATTACTGAAGAATTATTTAGGTCTTTAGACCTGCACACAAGGCCCCAGATGAAACAAACCAAAAAAAGTCAACAGGAAATACAGCAGAGCCAAAGACCTTTGTATTTCCAGTGAACTACAGAGACTAATAAAAGGAAGAAAGCATTTCTCATGATGTTAAGCATAATGAGTGTACTTTCTGACTACCTGCAATAACGTTAGCCTAAGGATTCTTAAATAGAATACACAGACAAAACATACATAAGAATTATGAATATCAGCTTCAGGATAAAATTAGAATAAAATAGGAAAGTTTCTGTGTGAAATATTGAGAAGCAGGAATACTATACTGAACTTAAACTCTTCACACATGAAATATCTTGCTCTGCCTCCCAGTGCAGTTAGTTTTCTAGGTGTCTGTTAGCTTGTTATCTGCAGTAGTTAATGGATGTGCCATATATGTGGGGCAAAATTTCTTTAGAAATTGACTGCAAATGCTATTAGTAGACATGAAATGTTCTTAGGCTGATCTTCTTAAAGGATGACTTGCATCATGCTGTTCTGCTTTCAGTTCCCTTACTAGGGATGCATTTGACATCAGTAGGTTAGGGAAACAGAAGAAAAACAAAATTTATATATGAAGACAAAAAGACACAGAGTCTGTATGTTCCAGAAAACTAGTTTCTATAGATATCACAGATGAAACAAAAAGGATCTATACTATAAAATACCCTGGCAGTCAGTTCAGTATTATCTCACACATAATAAAATATTTATGCTGAAAAGACTGAGATACCTGGACTCCCGGGTTTACCAGTCACAGTGCTTGGAGGCAGAGGTTTTCTTCGCATTTGTGTAGGCCTGACAGGTGGTATAGGAGAATGCTGAGGGCCAGGTGGTGTAGTTACTGAATGACATTATGAGACAGTGTTATTAATTATTTAACCTCAAATTCCATAAAATCAGAAACCCATTACAAGTTATATTTTGACTTCTCAATGTTTCATGTCTGATTTAGTATCAAAAGTGGAGAGGTGCGATTAGGAGCTGAAATGAGTTGTATTTTCAGCCTTAAACTCTTTGGCAAGTGCCTGCCATGGAGTTCTAAACCGAGCTTACACTGAAAAAATGTAGCTCCCTTGGGACTTTGTACAAGTGTTTCAGCAATTCATTTTCTGTGTAATTACTCATTACTGTCAATGGTAATTTTTTGGCAGCCAACAGGACACTTCTTCCTACAATAAACTCCACCTCAGTGTGCATGGAAACATCTTCACTATCTTACAACATTTCTGATCTTTTGTATTTTCTAACTGATAAAACTCATCACCCTCAACTTGAAGCAAAAGATGTAAAAAAAGGGAAATTATCATTAGCGACATTTTATCTTATGCTGTTCAAAAATGAAAAATGAAAAAGTCACTGTTACTTCATACACTGACATGTCTAGATACAGTTACTGTGTTAGTAACTCGTGAAGCACCCAACTAGGTTGCTTCAATGTGCATGCAGTTCCAGCCATTATCTATTAAATTTATCTGGTAAGGTCCTTCTGACAATGAGGTCTGAAAGGAGAACCTAAGCCTCTTAATTCATACTTACAAAACATTTTGTTGTATTTTCTAGGCAATTATAAAGATTGTATTATGCAAAAGAAAGGAAAAGGAAAATATTTTTCTTCCACTATTCAACTTTGCACTTCTTTCCTTACGAAAACAGGAGATAGGTGCAACACATTTACGTAACAAAAGTTTTTGTACCTAACAGGGGAAAATCCTCAAGATTAATGCAATTCTAATGCTGCCAATGTCAACAAATATGAAAGCTGCCTAATAGTCAGTTAGTGGCTACACAGAGCACCTCAGGCCCTACATAGCAGACCTTAGTTTACCCTATAAATAGAGTGACTGTGGGCGAGAAGGGAGCAGATCCAAAGACTCATTTGGAAGAGCCTTTTTAGAAATAGTTACAATATATGAACAGGAATGTGTCCTTCTTTCTCTGTTCCCTTTTCCTTTTGGACTTCTGCAGTCACTTATAAAACACTTTTTTTTTTTTAAAGTCCCTCAGATCAAGACGGGAAATAATGCTCTAATTCAGGAAGAGATAATGGTTTTGAAAAAAGCATTTGTAGGTTTCATATTTATTCTTAATCCCCAGATGGAGATGAAAATATATGCCTAAAGACATGAACAAGGATAATATTTTTTTTATACGTCGTCATACCCTAGATACTACTACATGATAGTATCCATGATTAATTTCCCCCCTGTCCATATGTAGGGAATGGGATTGTCTGAGATATTTATGGGGCAAAAATGTGCAACTATTGACTTGTCAATGGTTTCTATAACCTTCCAAACAACAGAACTGCAAGCTACATGCAAGCCAAAACATCATGTTCAGTGGACTGTGTCACAGTTAAATCTATGATACTGCACTCTGGAAAAACAAAAATCCCTACCCTTCCCTTGTACTACTTCCACAATGATTTGGGCAATGGTCCATGATGCTACCAAATCTAATCAACAATTTTACTGAGCTTGTAAACTAGGACACACAATAGAATCTATCTGGAATTGTGCAAAGCCTTTGACGCTGTTCCACACAACATCCTTGTCTCCAAACTGGAGATTTGACAGATGGATAAGGCATAAGACTGGGTGGTCACACTCAAAGAGTTGTGGTCAATGGCTGGATGTCAAGCGGAGACCAGTGATGAGTGGCCTTCCTCAGGGGTCCGTATTGGGACCAGTGTTGTTTAACATCTTTGTGGGAGACATGGACAGTGGGATTGAGTGCACCCTCAGCAAGTCTGCTGATGACACCAAGCTGTGTGGTGCAGTCCACATGCTAGAGGGAAGGGATGACATCCAGAGGGACCTTGACAGGCTTGAGAGGTGGGCCAGTGCAAACCTCATGAAGTTCAACAAGGCCAAGTACAAGGTCCTGCACCTGGGTCGAAGCAATCCCAAGCACAAATACAAACTGGGCAGAGAATGGATTGACAGCAGCCCTGAGGAGAAGGACTTGGGGGTGTTGGTTGATGAGAAGCTTAACATGAGCTGTCAGTGTGCGCTTGCAGCCCAGAATGTCAACTGTGTCCTGGGCTGCATCAAAAGAAGTGTGACCAGCAGGTCGAGGGAGGTGATTCTCCCCCTCTATTCTGCTCTTGTGAGACCCCACCTGGAGTACTGTGTCCAGCTCTGGGGCCCCCAACATAAGAACAAAGACCTGTTGGAGCGAGTCCAGAGGAAAGCCACAAAGATGATCATATGGGAGCACCTCCCATATGAGGACAGGCTGGGAGAGTTGGGGTTCTTAAGCCTGGCGAAGAGGAAGCTCCAGGGCGAACTTATAGCAGCCTTCCAGTACCTGAAGGGGGCCTACAGGAGAGATGGGGAGGCACTCTGTATCAGGGAGTGTAGTGACAAGATGAGGGGTAATGGTTTAAAGCTGAAATAGAGTAGATTTAGGTTAGATACTAGGAAGTAATTTTTCACTGTAAGGGTGGTGAGGAACTGGAACAGGTTGCTGAGAGAAGTTGTGGATACCCCATGCCTGGAGGTGTTCAAGGCCAGGCTGGATGACGCTTTGAACAACTTGGTCTAATGGAAGGTGTCCCTGCCCATGGCAGGGGGGTTGGAACTCAATGATCTTTAAGGTCCCTTCCAACCCAAACCATTCTATAATTCTCTGAATTTAGGGATTTTGTGATAGTGTAGATTCTTGCGAAGACAGTGGCATGGTGAACTATTAGGAATTATTTAATCTCAGGGGTTCTTAATGGACAGGGAATGTATTTCTTTGACTCTGTCACTCCTCATGCAAAAGGAGGGCATACAGCCCCTTAGGATAGACACTTAACACATCAAACTTAATTCTTGTATGCATAACCTATTTTTTTTATTTCTTGTAAATAGCCTAAATGTAAACTTTTTCAGTTAAAACACACAATGTTTTCAGAAAAAGTAAATGTATTTAAAAGGAAGGTAAAACACTGGCTAACTTACAACAATACATGATTAATTAGCCTCACATCTTTGCAATAATAAGATCATGGAACAGATACTCCTGGAAGCTATGTCAAGGCACATGGATGACAGAAAGGTGATTAGAAACAGACAACAGGGCTTCACAAGGGCAAATCATGTGTGACTAATCTGTTTGCCTTCTAGATGGAGTGACTGCATTGGCGGCTAAGGGAAGAGCAACTGATGCCATTTATCTTGATGTCTGTCCCACACATCCTTGTTGCTAAATTGGAGAGATATGGGTTTAATGGATGGACTATTTGATGGATAAGGAATTGGCTAGACAATCCCATCCAAAGAGTTGCAAATGTCCAAATGTAGATCGGTAAAACGTAGTGTCCCTCAGGGGGTCCGTACTGGGACCAGTACTGTTCAATATCTTTATTAATGACATAGACAGTGGGATTGAGAAAATTTGCAGATGACACCAACCTGTGTGGTTGCAGCTGATGCACTTGAGGGAAGGGATGCCATCCAGAGTAACCTTGACAGGCTGGGCAAGTGGGCCAATGCGAACTTCATGAAGTTCAACAAGGCCAAGTGCAAGTTCGTGCACCTGGGTTGGCATAATCACCAGTCTCAGTATAGGCTGTGTGACAAATGAATTGAGAAGAAACCTGCAGACAAGGACTTGGGGATACTGGTAGATGAAAAGTTAGATATGAACCAGTAATGTGCACTTGCAACCCAGGAAGCCAGTCTTATCCTGGGTTGCATCAGAAGCAGTGTGGCCAGCAGGTTAAGGTGATTCTCCCCGTCTACTCTGCTCTTGTGAGACTTTAACTGGAGTAGTGCATCCAGCTCTGGGGACCCCAGTACAAGAAAGACATGAACCTCTTAGAGAGGCCCAGAGGAGGGCGATGAAAATGATCAGAGAACTGGAACACCTCTCTTATGGAGGCTGAGAGAATTAAGGTTGTTTAGCCTGGAGAAGGCTCCAGGGAGACCTTATTGTAGCCTCTCAATACTTGAAGGTGGCTTATAAGAAAAACGGAGAGAGACTTTTTACCAGGGTCTGTAGTGATAGGAAAAGGGGTAAGAGTTTTAAACTAGAAGATGGTAGATTTAGAGGAGATATAAGAGGAAACTATTTACTGTTAGGGAGGTGAGACACTGGAACAGGTTGCCCAGAGAAGCTGTGGGTGCCCCATCGCTTGAAATGTTCAAGGTCAGTTTGGATGGGGCTTTTAGCCACCTGGTCTAGTGAAAGATGTCCCTGCCCATGGTGGGGGGAAAGGTGGTCCCTTGCAACCCAAACCATTCTATGATCGTATAATTCTGAATTTTGACATACATAGTAAGGCCTTATGAAGAGAGCTGATATCACAGAAGTGTACAAGAAAATTATGAAACAGCAGTAGCTAATTTCACAACCGGGACAATACCTGACTGTCTCTTATGATTACAGTTCAAGGTATTGGCTTACTTCAAAGCTCTAAAAGCTTAACTTTAAACATCTAATGTCATAACATGGGTAAAAGCAGATGTAGATGTTTCTTCAAGTCTATGTGCATAAAAAAACCCTTAGTTTTTGCATATCACAGGCTGGATTTATTTAAATACACCCCACTGCCTGACATTCAGTAACAAAAAATGCAGACAGCCATCCTTGTTTGCAGTTTACAGTCTGCATTACAGCAGCTGCTCCTGGTATATCACACTGGACTTAGTCTTTACAAAGTACAATCTTCATATTGAATAAACTTTAAAAAAATGAAACATCAGAATCAGCTGTCAAGACAGGCTCTTGTCTTTGTGCAGGAAGATTAAGTGCAAAGGAAATTAAGCAGGGATTAGGAGCAAACAGCAGTTTATAAATTAGTAAGAGGCCTACCCTTGTATCTGTGTTTCTAAGTCTAATAGCATGTTTTCAAAGGAAAATAGAACTAAAAAGAGCAGCTGCAACTGAAAAGTAATCAAAGGGCAAAACCAAAAAATTTTATTTTCAGTCGGTTTTGCCAGTAAAAAAGCACAGCTAAAACAACCTCAATTCTTGGTAATGCTAATAAAACAAAGACATTTATGTATATGTATGTGGCAGACAAACACACTCTATACTATAACTTTTCAGTTGAAACAGAAATTTCTAAGAAACTGACTAAAAAAAATGAAATACAAAAAAGCTATTTTGAAGGCCTATTTGGGAAAGCTGTTTTCAAGTAAAATGTTTTTATTGTCTTTAAAATATAATTGCAAGTCTTGCAAGTAAAGTAAAACTGACAAGCACATGTAAAAAACCTGCAACCTTATTTATTCCACTTTGTTATTTTGCTTCAAGCCTAACGTTCTAATTTTTCTAACAATCCTAGTATTCAACAAATCTTTCTCGTGAATGGGAGAACAATTTGGTTATGTATTCTCCTTTGCTATGTAGAAACTAGTAGCATGAAAAAAAAATCAGTGCTTACGGTATTGTGGCTGCTTGATCATTAGGATACAACACTGATGGTAGTAAATTTTTAATATACGGTATATGTTAGTGACTAAGTAGTGACCATGAAATATTCTTAGTTTTATCTCTTTTAGTAGCAGCCTGAAACCAAGAGAAAGTGCATTGATGAGGATGACTAAGGATCATTTTCTCTTCAGTGGAGGTGTTTTTTCTGTAGGAAAAGCAGTGCCTTTATTTTTCACAACTGCTATATGGTCTTCTTTTATTAACCTTACCAGAAAATGTATCTTCCCAGGTATCACCATATTCCAACGGTTCTTCCACATGCACGGCAATTTGTCTGGCAACATCCTCAGGTGTATATACTTCATCTGTGAAACAAAAGGAAATGAAGTATCTACAGTGCAGTACCAAGTCATGGAATACTTCTATATTGTATATGTTCAAACTGTAGCTAACATTAAGTGCAAAACTGGCATATATGGCCCATCTATAATTTTCTTGATAACTTAGTGATATCTGTTATCTTCCTATTCAAGTAAAGAGAAGTGGCCTTGGTCTAGAAGATTCTGCAATTTAATTTTAAACATTCCTTGAAAAAAGTATATTTTGAAAGAGAATGAAGAAGATTAAGAGATAACAGATGATTTAAACTAAGATTATATGTGGAAAGATGAGTACAGAGAACATTTTAGTTTTTCAGTATACAGAACAAAATGTCCATTGACTCTTGCAAAGGGCAAAGTTCTTCTTCCAAAAAATATCATCTTTGGTTATCCTCCACATTGAATTGCTAGAGTAATTCTGAAACAAACACATATTTGGAGTACTGGAGGTGAAGTGTACATAAAATTCAGTTTGTATATAGAAGAAAGACCTACTTAAAAGTTATATAAACGCATTTAAAAAAAACCTGAAGTAAATGACATTAAAAAGATAAACAGAACTACTCCTGGTACAGAAAAACTGTTTCACATGCGGATATTTATAGGACAGCCAGACTGTTAAATTAATATTCTTTCCC